TTAACCAAAACTGGATTACTATTGGGATACAGGAGGGGTTAATATGTGAATGTCAGTTATATGCTAAAAATGTGCTGATATATCCCAGTAAAAATTGTTAAAACTATAAAACTGTATAAAATAACTGTATAAAATTGTTTATATTTAGAAATAAGAATACAAGTCTATTATCCAGAAATATGGAGGGGTGCCTGGGTGGCTCAGTCATTAAGTGTCTCCCTTCGGCTCAGGTCATGATCCCGGGGTCCTGGGATCGAGCTAAGCAGGGAGCCTGCTTCTCCCTCACCCACTACCCCTGCTTCTGTTCCCCTTCTTGCTGTTAGGTGATAAGGAAGGAAGGAAGGGGCGCATGGGTGGCTCAGTGGGTTAAAGCCTCTGCCTTCGGCTCAGGTCATGATCCCGGGGTCCTGGGATCGAGGCCCGCATCGGTCTGTCTGCTTGGCTGGGAGCCTGCTTCCCTTCCTCTTTCTCTGCCTGTCTCTCTGCCTACTTGTGATCTCTGTCTGTCAAATAAATAAATAAAAATCTTTAGATAACCCTGTAGATACCGTTGCAAGATGTAGAATGCAAGACGACCAGTGGTTTGATGGGGAAATAGTGGTTCCCATTTTGTTGAGGTCTACAGGATATTATATTAAGACAGACACATGTCTCCAGTTCAGGAGTAAAATCAAGCAAAGACACATCTGAGGGCAAAATAAACCAGCACCTAGGAACTTCAGAAGCAGCCATTTCAAAGAAATGATCTGTTTATTACAGTTCATTCTTACTTATTCATTACCAGGTCTCTTAAGGACTATTCAATAGGCAACCAATTCTTTTTCTAATTATAAGACCAAGACAAACTTACTAGGAAAAACCTGAAAAGTTTACAGACAAGAAAACATAATTTTTCCAGCCCAGGAACTTTATATTTCTTTCCAGTCTTCTTTATTATCACACAGTTGGTTATACTGTGTGCTGTTTTCCTAACCCTTCAAAGTATATACTCTCCCATGATTTTTTTTTTAGAAGATTTTACTTGAGAGACAGGGTGCACAGAAGCATGGGGGAGCGGCAGAGAGAGAGGGAGAAGCAGACTCCCCAATAAGCAAGGAGACCTTCTTGGGGCTCGATCCCAGGACCCTACCTAAGATCATTACTGAGCCAAAGGCAGACACTTAACTAAGCCACCCAGGTGCCTCCACTCTCCCATGATTTTAGACATGATTTCACTATCACTCTGTATAATAAATTATGTGTAATAAATTAGCCATAATTTAATTCAAGCAAACCCTAATGGTGGCATTTTGGTTGATGCAAACTTTCACTATTAAAAAGTGATTAAAGTGTTTTTGCATAAAGTATCCACATTTAAGGCTGAGTTCTAAAGATGAATTAATTAGTTCCAGCTGTGCTAATGCATACTCCCACTAATAAAAAACCAAATGACAACTTACTGCATTCTTACCAATACTGAATATTCTCACTTAAAAATATATTTGGTAGATGAAAAGTGAATTATTTTAACTCTGTTTCTTGGATGACACAGAGACTAAATTTTTAAATGCTACTGTTATTTATTACCCTCCTCTAAGAGTAAGCTGCTTATTTTACTGCCCAGTTTTGGACTTCAGTGTTCCGTTTTATTTGAATGAGATCTTAACAAATACAGATAATTTTTGTTATCTAGATTTTTCCAAAAATTTTTCTATCATCTTTTTCCTATTGGTCTTTTCCTTTATGATCTCTCCCATTTGTTAAGTCCTTCATCCAGAGAATATGCAGAATTTCAATTATAATTATTTACATTACAAAAAGTTTATTTTCATTCCCTTTTAAAACAAACTCATCAAGGCACATAATAAAAACTCTAACAGCACACACAAATATATCCCAAGTTTCAAGATTCCAGTTATCTCATGTATGAAGATTTAACTACTTCCCATTTTTAAAAAGAAACCTATACATTTCTATACCTAACTTATTTTACTTTATTTTGGAGGTCTAATCTTACTTGTACACATAAGACTACCTCCTTCTTTGTAAAGGGTGCATGATACTCCACTGTAAGAAGGTAGCTTCATTTAACAAGTCTATGTTGGACGTTAAGGTAGTTTCTAGACCTTCATTACTACAAACAAAACTACAATTAATGTCCTTGTACATAAGTCTTTGTACACAGCACAGATCTATTTGTAGAATAAATCCCTAAAAGTGAATCTGCTGAGTTAAGTCATATATACTTTAACTTATGTTATTACCAACTGCTCTTTGTAACAGTTACGTGAGTTTATAATACCATAAAAATGTTTGCGTCTTGCTTACAGTGGAAACCTGAGCCCTAATAAATGTGGAAGGCATGCTAAAGTGAGAAAATCATCATTTTGCAGCCATCAAGTGAAGATTAGTCCAACCAAGAATCTATGGATGCTAAATATAGGGAAAGATTTTAATGAGCAGGGTATTTGTATGATCTTAAAGAGTTTCCCTATGGCAGGCTTACTATACACCAGGGGAGAAAACAGTAACCATACAGTAATTAGAAAACATCTTGGAACAAAATAATATCACCACTGAGTGGGTGTATGCCTTACCTGTGACAACAGAAGGAGGACACAGTATCACTTATATCATATTCCTACCAGGACCGCATAATCTAATGTAATCACGAGGAAAAACACACAAGCTTCAGTGAGGAACACTCTTAAAAAGACAAACTAGGAGAGGCCTACATTCTCCAAAGACATCAATGACATGGAGACAAAGAAAGGCTGAGGAACTGCTATAGATTAAAGGATACTAAAGAGGCAACTAAATGCAGGACATGATCCTAGACTGGATCCCAAACCGTAGGGGGAAAAAACACTAAAAAGGATATTGGTGGGTCACCTGACAGGAACAGAATATGGAGAGTGGACTGTTACTACAGATTCACTGACGTTGAGAACTGTACTGCAGTTGTGTATTTTAAGTACCTTTTTTCTTAGGAGATGCACACTAAGAAATGTTTGTGGGGAGAAGATAATAATGTATGCAACTTACCCTCTGCTGGTTCAAGAAAAAAACATACATGAGAGAGAAATTGAGAAAATAAATGGGACAATGGATTAATAGAGCTGAATCAAGGTAAGGAATATATGCTGTTCTTTGTGCTCCCTATAACTTGTTAATTTGAAATTAAAGATTAAAAAGAACGAGGCAGTGACTATTCATCTCTCACACACATAGCCCATGTGAATGCCTGTTTCTCACCCTCATCAATATGTACATTATACAAAATTTCTAATCTTTGCCAATAATGGGTAAAAAATGGTATCTCAGTTTTAATCTGCATATCTCTTAAGTTATGCACCTTTTCGTATGTTTAAAGGTCATTTCATTTTCTACAATCTTCTTTTTAACAACTTTTTTACACCTAAAATACTTCAACTATATTCAATTTATTTTGATATTGTCATAGACTGAGTGTTTGTGTCCCTCCACAATTCATATGTTAAGTCCTAACACCCAATGTGATAATATCTGGAGGTCCCGCCTTTGGAAGGTGATTAGGTCTGCCCTCATGAATGGGATCAGTGACCTTATAAAAGAGACCAAGGGAGTTCCCTTGCACTTTCTCCCAAGTGAGGACATGGTGCAAAGATGGCCATCTATGAACCAGAAGGCAAACCCTCACCAGACACTGAAGCTGCTGGTGCGTTGATCTTGGACTTCTTGGTCTCTGGAACTATAAGAAATAAACTTCTGTTGTTTACAAGCCACTCCATCTATGGTATTCTGCTATAATAACCCAACAGATTAAGGCAGATGTAAAATGATAAGTTAATTTTCAAGGGTGCTTACCAACTACTGTCTGCTATATGAATCTTTTCTCTGCCTAGGATTAGGATTTTTAATGTCCTTTTGGGTGTAGTGTGAGAATGCAAGTATTCATATATATATATCTCTTCTCACTTGTTAACGCAAACTAATCTTTCTAAAATTTTCAAGCAAGTGGAAAAGATTTTCCATGATACCGATAGCAATTAAAGTAAGTAGCTAAATAACCAATGAGTGTGTAAAAAGTAGACAGTATTTCATACACAACTCACAAGCCATATATTCAAATGTGAAGTCATATTAGCTGTATTATTCTCATTTTATTAATATTAATATAAATTTAGAAAAACTATACATACTATAGACTGAACCACTGGAGGAGACTAAGATATTTATTTTGGATTAGTAACAGTGTTAAAAAGAAACATGTTTCAACAAAAGGAAGAATTAAAAATACTTATCAATAATTTTTTTTTAAAGATTTTATTTATTTATTTGACAGACAGAGATCACAAGTAGGCAGGGAGGCAGGCAGAGAAAGAGGAGGAAGCAGGCTCCCCGCTGAGCAGAGAGCTCGATGCAGGGCTCGATCCCAGGACCCTGGAATCATGACCCGAGCTGAAGGCAGAGGCTTTAACCCACTGAGCCACCCAGGCGCCCCCTTATCAATAATTTTAAATGCTATTACATTTCCCCTTAAAATTATCAGAACCTAAAACCTTATTTTTCTCATAAGGAGAAAAACATCTTTCCAAGTTCAAAACACTTCCTCAAGGTACTTCGTACAAACTGGAAATATGTTTATGCCCTAAAATATTCCTCAAAACTTTGTTTTCCTTAGCTCCCTCTTACCCAAAGACTGAAAGTACAGCACCTCTGTGTTATACCTTACAAGAGACTTGAGGGAAGAAGCTATATCTGCTATTTTCTTTGTGAATTCCCACAACACTCAGAACAATCTGCACATAATGGATACTCAATGCATGGTAGTGATGGAAAGAAAATACAATGAAATTAAAGTTCTTTCTTCAAACTGGATTACTTCAGCCAACATATTTGTAAACAACATAGCATCACTTTTAAAAACAGCTTTTACCTATATTTGTTGATAAAAATAAGTATCACATATCATTTAAATATATCACAATAAATAAGATGGTCAAATGAGCTTCAGGAATTCTCATATTACAAAATCTTACCTCTTCAAAAACAGCAGCTTTATTTACTTTTTCCCTTGCAATGTCACAGATTTTCAGGATTCCCAGAGCAAAAGCTTTCATGGCAGGATCTTCTATAAAGTCTGGATTGTGAATGTAAAGGCACGTAAATACTGTCTGTGCCAAGGAATGGCCTTCTAACCATGTTATCTATAAAGAGATAAAAGTATGTGTATGTTTAAGACAACACACAGTCTGCAAAGTCTAAACGGACCCAGGCTAGACTGCCACAGACCCAAATAAATATAGTATTAATCATGGCATTTCAAAGATGATTAAAAGGAAGGTCAGAGGAAACAAAAGAATTATAATTCACTTTCACTGACTTTAGTTTTTCAAGAATCATATACCATAAATATGACTAGCTATCTAACGAAAGTATTCTTATATAGAACAGTCTGCAATTATATTTGAAGACTGATGAAATTACAATGCTGCCTTACAGACCATTCAAAAGCAATTAATTCCACAATGAGTCAATAGAAATCCATAAAGTAGGGAATTCACAATTTTAGAACCAGTCCTTAGCCACTCATTTAACTTTTCTTTTTCATATTCACTACTACTAACTAGTTGAGAGCTTCACATCCCACCTAGATTACTGCAAGAATCTGCACAAGTTTTCGGGCCTTCCATCTCCAATTTAATAACCCCCAACCAGAGGAACTTTCTGGGAAGTCACAGTTTTTAGATTAACCAAGTGTTATTTTAACTCTTACCAAACAGCAAAAACAAGTATCCATTATCCCTATCAGTTCAGGCAAGGTGAGGTCTTTAATTTTAATGGTGCCATCCTAAAAAGGAGGAGAAATAGGACATATGAGAAGTTTTTTTTATAAATTTATGGTTTCTATGTCCAGTAACATTTTGCCTTCCAAAAATTGAATCGATAAAAACTGAGACACAGGGTGTGCACAGAGTACAGGGTAGAAGCAGAGAGAACCTCAAGCAGACTCCCCACTGAGCGTGGAGATCAAGGCGGGGCTCCATCTCATAACCCTGAGATCATAACCTGAGTGGAAATCAAGAAGCAGATGCTTGGGGCGCCTGGGTGGCTCAGTGGGTTAAAGCCTCTGCTTTCGGCTCAGGTCATGGTCTCAGGGTCCTGGGATCTAGCCCTGCATCGGGCTCTCTGCTCAGCAGGGAGCCTGCTTCCTCCTCTCTCTCTCTGCCTGTCTCTCTGCCTACTTGTGATCTCTGTCTGTCAAATAAATAAATAAAATCTTTAAAAAAAAAAAAAAAAAAAAAAGCAGATGCTTAACCAACTGAGCCAGCCAGATGCCCCAAGAAAAGTAAACGTTTTTAAGTTAACTATATTACTTGTAAATTTTGTTTAGCAAATCTTTTCTCATAAAATATGCAAAAGTAAACTCTCTGTCAACTATGAATGAATTTATAAGTCAATCCTCACAGAGTTAATTTCAAATTCACAACAATAAGCACCTTGCTTAATATATTAATATCCAATTTTAATCCCTTAACCAACTACCCTGGTATTTAAATATATACTGAAATGCTTTCAAAAATTAATGAATAGGGCGCCTGGGTGGCTCAGTGAGTTAAGCATCTGCCTTCGGCTCAGGTCACGACCCTGGGGTCCTGGGACTGAGCCCCCTGTCAGGCTCCTTGCTCAGTGAGGAATCTGCTTCTCCCTCTCCCCCGCCCCTTTCCCCACTTGTGCTCTCTCTCTGAAACAAATAAAATATTTTAAAAAAATTAATAAACACACAGAAATTTAGAGCAAGCTTGTAATGAAGACCCTAAACAATTTTTAGATTTAACAGATTTCAAAGGAGATCAATAAATGAAGGTTATAACTAATTTTTATTTATATACCTGAAATGCTCTTAAAAAATTATACTTTAGGGTTGCTGGGGGGAGGGGGGTTGGGTTATGGACACTGGGGAGGGTATGTGCTATGGTGAGTGCTGTGAAGTCTGTAAACCTGGCGATTCACAGACCTATACCCCTGGGGATAAAAATATATGTTTATAAAAAATAAAAAATAAATTTAAAAAATTATACTTTAATATGCCAAGTTTGATTTTCATTGTTTTAACATATGAAATAACAAATGATAAAACACAAAAAGCACAATGGTAATTACCTTGATAGCTTGTTCAAAATTGAGAACTTTTCGATTAACTTGGTTTCCAATCATGCCAGCATCCATCTTGGGATCCATCATTTCAATGGCAGACATGGCTTCAAAAAGACCAAATCTGCAAATAAAAAACATGACCACACAAATTGTTCTTGAACCAGTTAAGTTTACCCAGATTCTCACAATGATATAAAAATTATTACAGTGCTTTAAATAACTATAGTATTCTATGTATTTAATCTTCCCAATTTGCTACCACTTCTATTTCAACTAAATAGAAATGTAACATAAAAATTATAACATGTATTTGTCATTCAAATTATTTTACAAGCACTGTGGGAGAGAAAAGAAAACAAAAGATTTTTTTGTATTTCTTTCAAAAAGGTTGCACATCAGAAATGTTGGAAAAACGATCAACTGATCTATAATGGATTTCACTTTGCCTTTAAATAATTTTTCTCTATTTAATATTTAGAAAGTTGTGTTTGGAATAATCATCAAACATTTTCTTTACATATTGAATGATAATAATAATCTGGCACATTACTGTCTGCAATGACCCAAGTTCTGGCAATAACATAATGAAAAATAATCCAGGAATCCTCTTATTTGTGTCTGGTATTTATGAGTTATTAGCCATAAGAGCAGATAGCTGTGATGCACTGTGGACTGGTTAGGAAGTGTATCATTAACTGAGATATGCCTCAAAAAAATGGGACAGGAACAAAAGAAGCTTAAAAGAAAGTCTGACAGGTGATGAAGCTACTGACTTCATATTTTGCTTAGTCTAAGCTATTAGATTACCAGCAAAATAAAGACATCTACCTTGTTACACTAAATCATTTCTCTCAGAAAGGCAGCAGCAAGGAGAAAGCAGCAGCTTTAAGGAGACAGACTCTTCCCTGCAATCCCTCAAATCTCTTAATGCTTCAAGATAATCTGACAATATGAACATGGTATTATTGAAGACAACTCTAGTATATGCTAATCAAAACCCAAATGGTATTTTTCAAAGAGGTTGTCAAGCCAAAACAGTAAATATGCAAAAATGGAAGAGAATATTTTCAACAAAAACAACAGAGATTCATCAAATATCAAAGACACTGTAAGATATAATAATTGAACGCATCCTAGAACACACAGGTCAATAAAAAACAGCCTAAACACCATTTCTGAAGAAATTATATGTGATAAAAGTAGAACTTCAAAGTAGTGAAAAACAGTGGGTTAATCAATAAATACTGTTAAGACAAGTGGCTAACCATCTGGAAAAAAGTGAAATCTTTGATTTACACAATTTCAAAAAGTAAACTTCACGCAGATTTAAGCTCTAAATCTAAAACATGCAAACAAAAAACTTTCCAATAATTTATAAAACGAGTTGATATATACAACTGTGTAAATATTTTAAAATTTAGATGCGCCAATAATAAGCCATAGCTGGAACTCCATAATTATCTAGGATACATATTTTTAATATAATTTTCAAAAAGTTATTATATCGAATACAACCACCTGGTATAAATAAGTAAGGCAAGGCAAATAGTCAAAAAAAAAAGAGGCAAACAACATGAATGGAAAATTCACAAAAGAAAAAATTCATATTAATAATAAAAAAGTGCAAAGCTGCTCAAATTTAAATGTAATCAGGTAATGCAAAACAAAATAATGATAAATTTCTTTGGCCATTCAGAAAGCTTTAAAAATATATTTAGTCTTTTTTCATTGGTGGGAGTGTAAACTGAAACAGACTTTTGTTTAGAAAAGCCTGGCTGAACCCATTAAAATCCAGTCATTCGATTTCTAGGCTTCCATTCTAAAAATCTTTTGTACATGTATACCAAAAGGCTTGCAGAAATTAAGTGTCTTCAATTTTCCCATGTTACCAAAAATATTGCAATCTAAATGTCCATCAATAGCGATACCACAGAATAAATTATGGTATAGCCGTTTTATAAAATACAAACCAACAGTTAAAATGAACAAGGTAGAGCTTATATACTAACATGGAAAGATCTCCAAGATAGATCTCCAAGATATACTGAATTGGGAAGGAATTTTCAAAATAATACATACTGCAGATTCGCATTTACAATTAGCTAATTTTGTAGATTTTTACTCATGTAAATACATTCCTCTGTAAGTCTAGAAAAACATGCAACAATCTGATAACAGTGATTATCTCCAGGCAAAGAACAGACGTGGGGGAGCGGGGGCAGTGTCATGTGCAGTTTCTGTTTCACCCCTGAGGTCTGAATTAGCTTAAAAGTATCCATATATTACTTATAAGAGAACAACTAAATCAAGTTTCTAATGGCACAATTAAAACCCTAGTGAGGTATCTGCCTAATTAGTAAACCTCTACAGAAACTGTAGTAGCATTAAGTTAGCTATTTCATTCACCCAACAAATAGCGCAAGTACCTAATATGTGCTAAGCATGGTTCTAGGTACTTAGAATACATAAGTGAGTGAACAAATTTGCCTGCCTTAAGGAAGCTCACATCCAGTGGAAGGAAACGGACAATAAACAATGAAGATAAAAAGTTACACAGCATGTTAGAAGACTGTATGCTAGGCAGAAAAGACAAGACAGCTAAAGAAGATATGAATCACAAGAATATAACTTTAATAGATAGATGGTCAGGGGAGGCTGCTGGTAATCATGTTTTCTGCGCTAAGCCTAGCACCTTGGGGGAAATGAAGGCAGCCTGGTCCCTCTAGCTATCTTCTTACAAATCTTGTTTCACGTCAGGAGCCACACTCTTCTGCATTAGCTTGGGATAAGGTTTCATTTTATCTTTCCTAGAATTGCCTGCAGCACCAAAATGATGCCCTAGAATGGTTCTTAGTGTGGTTAGTCCCTGGATCAACAGCATCAACCTCATCAGGGAACTTGGTAGAAATGCAACTACTGCGGTCCCACGCCAGACCTAAAGAAGGATCTCTGGGGGTGGGGCCCAGCAACATGTGTTTTCAATGTGTGGGATGATTCTGATTCACACTAGAGTCTGAGAAGAACTAAATTTCAGGGTCTACCCTTGCTTCCCAGATGTCCAATCTGAGCCACTAATTTAACATTTTATATTTCTAACCTTGAAACTGAGCCTGGCCAGATCAGTTGGGGAACTGAGGATATCTATGGTAGTATAAATAGAATCAAGCACCTATCTTTTTTTACCTTTCCAGGGATTCTGGATCTAACTTTCATCCAGCCATTATCTCACTTATCTCTCTGGTTATCAGCCAGCCTATTAAGATAACATACAGCCTGTAAGCTTTCTTCAAGAAATTTCACATCCTCTATCTAACTCTCAAGGAAAGGACCATGAGGCACAGTTTCCATTAACTATAACCATTTTTATTACAACCAGGGCCAGCTACCCCAAAATAACTCGCCAATGTTAAAAATATATTTATAAATCATTTTCTTTTTACAGCTTTGAAATGTAATATTACCCAGGTTCCAAGGAACACTACTGCACACAAGGAAAAACATGGAAATATTACATTAACTATTTCAAATGACATAAATACTTACAGTTTATCATGAAGTAGTTCTCCCAATTTTAATTCTAAAAGAAAAAAGAAAAGAAAAATCCTTTGAATAATACAATCTTAATATTTAAATTTTAATTCTAAGAAAAAAAGTTTTGCTTGAAAATGAGCTTGCATTAAACTTCATTTTCTTTTTTTTGAAAGACTATTTATTTGACAGAGAGAGATCACAAGTAGGCAGAGAGGCAGGGAGAGAGGGGGAAGCAGGCTCCCCGCTGAGGGGAGAGCCCGATGTGGGGCTCAATCCCAGGACGCTGAGACCATGACTTGAGCCCGAAGGCAGAGGCTCAACCCACTGAGCCACACAAGTGCCCCTAAACTTCATTTTCTAAGAAATGATTATTTGTACTCAATTACTAATATAATGCCTTCCACAGAATGAATATTTAAACTCTTTAAGTTGAACTTTTTAGAATTAGCAAACAACCCACCACGGGCCAAAACAATCTAATCAGAATTACCAACCTCATTTTAAAGTATTACTAGTATATTTCCCCTAAGTATACTTTTTCACAGAACTGACTGCTATTTCACAAGTTGTTTTTAAACTACTTGGTGTCAAAATCTAACCTCTTTTTGTCCCAGGAACAGTACCAAAGTTGTTTTTTAAAATTACATTTTATTTCAATGTAGAAAACATGAGTAAACAGCTAATCAAAACAGTATTCAAACCCTATAAAACAAGTCCCAACCTTGGGTGCATACTGGTATCAACTTTGGAACTCCGGAAAATCCCAGCGTCCAAGCAGCACCCTAAACCAATTAAATTCTAGGGGTGGGGCCTCGGCAGTGGTTTTAAAGCTCTACAGGTGATTTCAAAGTGCAGGGTAGGTGAGAACCACTACCACAACATTTTAAGTAGCTTAAGTACTGATGGTCAAATCTTGTGGAAGGTGCAAAGCACTAGTTTTCAACAGTTCTCAAATATGGTCTGGGAACCCAGGTGGTGTCTGTAATATTAAAATTACTTTCATAGTAAATCAGGGCACAGGGGTGGCTCAGTCAGTTAAGCAACCAACTCTGGATTTCAGCTTAGGTCATGATCTCAGGGTTGTGAGACTGAGCTCCGTGTTGGGCTCCACGGTGAGCATGCTTATGATGCTTTCTCTCCTTCCTCTGCCCCTCCACCCCTGCTCTCTTGTGCACATACTGGTGTGCTCCGCTCACTCGATCTCTCTCTCTCTCTCTCTCGAATAGATAAAAATTACTTTTATAGTAATACTAAAATGTTGTCTTTTTCATTGTGTTGACATTTGCACTGAGGATGCAAAAGCAATGCATAAAAAGGAAAAATTTTTAAATGGGGGGTGGGGCTACACTACTTTAGTTTCAGCACAAATTTAAAAAGTGGCCCCAAGCTCAACAGTGTATTCTTTACCGCCATGCACTTGTAGTTTAAAAAGACAATTTTTTTTTTTAAATTTCACTTAAGAGGTCCTTGATGAAGCAGTAAAATTATTAACCTCAGGACTGGGTCCAGGGTACAGCAAGTAAAGCACCTCCCATGTGAAATTTAAAGAGTGACTCACTTTCAGTTAGCAAATTCTTAAATTTTACACCCTAGGTGCCTCAATCACTTCCTTCTAGTGCTGGCCCTGACTTACCTGATTAAATCTCAATCTCTGAGTACATCTTTTAAATATTCTATTTGACAAAATGGAAAGTTATAAACAAACACTTTTGCTGCATACCAATGTAAGATGTTGTCTTAAGGAGAAGCACTTCCACAAGTATGGAACACCATTTTTTACTTGAACAACAGCCAAAATGTACTTATTCAGATATGAGAATATGTCATTTTCTTGAAAATAAATGAGTCTGTTGCTTTAAGAAAAACAACTGACATTTGTGTTGCCAATAATAAAATTTGAGCTTTTAGGCAAAAATTAGAATTTGGAGAAACATATCTGACACTGTGAAACTGATAGATTCCCAATACTTAAAAAATACTTTTCTGATGATACTGGTGGTGTATTAACAAATGTGCTTTTCAGTATTATGTAATTTCATCAGCATTTGGAAGATCTGCTTAACTCAGTGAACGAATATTTTCCAAATGGCAACAAATGTTCCAAAATCAGGCATGGATAAAAGATCCATTCAAAGTTCAAGGCAGACCAGTGGATTTCAATGTAACAAAGAAAGTCCACTCATATGTCTTCAGATTCCACATCACAGTTAATCTTTAAGAAACTACCACCTGTCAAGTTTTGTTGCACTGTCATATCAAAGAAGAGGATCCACAATTATCTTTAAAGGTTCCTCCATTTTTCAACTACATATTGGGTGAGGCCAAATTTACCTTATATACTTCAAGCACACACACAGATAACGAATTCAGGCACCCTCTGTTATGCTGACATTAAAGAGATTTTCAAAAATATAAAACTCCACTCTTGTAAGTCATTCTGCTTTGAAAAATATTTATTTTCATTAAAAAACATGTTAACATGCAATGGATTTATATTTGTTTTTAAATGAATTCCTATTTTTAAAATTTGCTTTAAATTTTAATACAGTAAACTATACATATGTTAACACAAACAATTTTTAAGAGTTTAAAAGTGTAATTTTTAAGAGTATAATGGGATCCTAGGTGCTTCTGGATGACTTTGGCTCAGGTCATGATCCCATGGTCCTGGGATCAAGCCCCAAGTCCTGCTCTCTGCTTGGCAGGGGGCCTGCTTCCCCCTGTCTCTGTCTCTGCCTGTCTCTCTGCCTACTTGTGACCTCTGTCAAATAAATAAATAAAATCTTAAAAAAAAAAAAAAGTATAATGAGATCCTGAGGCCAAAAACTTTGAGAACTGCTATAATAATTTATCAAATATTTAAGGTAGATTTGGGTACCAAATAGCTTCATTAAACATAAAACACTCCACAGACCTAAAAGCAAGCCAATCACTCTGGGCCTTGGGCTCCTATCTGTAAAATGAAGGGCTGAACTAGCTGACTCTCATTAGGTCCCTCAGAATACCAGTAATCAGAGAGGTGCTCAGTTAATTAAGCAACCAACTCTTGATTTTGGCTCAGATCATGATCTCAGATTCCTGGGAATGAGCCCCACCTTGGCTCCACACTCAGTGCAGAGTCTGCTTATCCCTCTTCCCTCTGCTACTCCTCACACATGCATATGCGTGTGCTCTCTCCCACTCTCTCAAATAAATAAATAAATAAATAAATCTTAAAAGGAAAAAAAAAAAAAGAACATCAACAATCAGATCACAGTAAACTGTAGGCAGGAAACTTTAAAATTTACTCAACTAAGCAGAGTGCAAGCCCTCTCACTGCATGATCAACAAATGGACACAGAATCGTGATATTCTATAGCACTACAGACCTGAGTAGTTTGCGTCTTATCCAACTAGGCTGCAAGTCTCAAAAAATTTAGTGAGAAGGATGTTTTACATTTATCATTAACAGAGCAATGAAATCATCACACATCACACAGTTCTTGGAAAATTCCACAGTACTAATAAAGAGAATAAGAGTCAAAAAAGCAAGTTAACATCTCAGTATTATATGGAAATAGTTTTACCATGGAAATTGTTTTGACCTTCCATAACCTTTGAAATGGTCTCGAGGATCCCAGGGATCACAGATACACCAAACAGTTGAACTAAGTTAACACAGTGATAAAAAATAGTTACTTCTACTTTTATGTTAAAGCCTTAAGTAGGTGCAGCAGTACATAAAACACTCAGAGCAAAGGAAAAAATTAGATACGAGGAAAAGCTGATGATTCAAGGTTTTTTTTTTACTACCTTGACAATAAACTGCCTTTTTCTTTTATCCTCACTCTCATTCATATCCTCACTCTCATTCATATTCTCACTCATGAATAGATCTGTTGTGAGAGAAAATTTAACTCATTTTGTGGGTCCCAGAATTTCTTTCTTTCTTTTTTTTTTTTTTTACATGTGAGTGGGGGTGAGAACAGAGGGAGAGGGAAGGAGAGAATTTTTTTTTTTTTTAGATTTTTATTTATTTATTTGACACAGAGAGATCACAAGTAGGCAGAGAGGCAGGCACAGAGAGAGAGAGAGAGAGGGAAGCAGGCTCCCCGCTGAGCAGAGAGCCCAATGTGGGGCTCGATCCCAGGACCCTGGGATCATGACCCGAGCCGAAGGCAGAGGCTTAACCCACTGAGCCACCCAGGTGCCCCGGGTCCCAGAATTTCTTAACATCTTACTGGACATCGTTCCTTTTGCCTTAGAAATGAGTAACAAATCATAACTTGTGGTCGATTTTGGGTATGCAGCAGTACTAAGCACTTGAAGCATATGATCACTCTCCTGAGAAAACGTTCTTAAAGGACAGAGAAAAACATGTATCTATATGACAAGGCAAATAAATTTTATCATCTTATAAGTGAACAGATGTGTAAACTGAAGTTATAGATCGTTGAACAGATTTCCACCCATAACATTATAAATGATGGTTAAGTTCCCACCTAGGGACCCTATGAACCCCTACTGAATCAGTAGGTTGAATGATACAGTTGAAATCAGTATCATTGTAATAGTGATATTTAAATGAACCAATTAAGGTTTACCAGGCAGTAAAGGTGGCAAACTGCAACTACTTTTAATTCCTTCCTGAAATCTCATTAAAACAACCAGAGGAAGTGTGTGTGTGTGTGTGTGTGTGTGTGTGTGTGTGTGTGTATTTAAGAAAGGTATACACTCCAAAGAAGAAAAACATGTACAATAAAATTGGGGAAAGTTGTAAATAAAAAGATAAATTAAGTAGTTACTTAGCAAAGTCGAGAAAGCAGAATCCTAAAACCAGGAGTGAAGAAAGCAAAAACCAACCTGACTTACCGCTTACAACTAAAAGTGCAGCTAAAGGAAGGCTAAAACATGGAGGACTGAGCTGTCAGGACAACACAGAACCCTGTCCTATTTACAGAGGATAACTGGCCCTCCCTAACCCCACATACTGAAGACTTTTTTGAAGAGGGCAAAACCATCTCCAGAGACATAAGGTTATTGGAAGGCCAGGTACAGTATGGAAAG